TCTTTGATTTAGTTCGTCTATGAGGTGCACATATTCCCTGCCTTCTGCCTGTTTTCAGACTAATATGGCTAACTACCTCTCTGCTCATGGAAACAAAACACTCATGGGTTTTCACAAAATAGGACTTTAGCATGACAAAAAAAGCACAAGGTGCTGACCACTCTGGGTTGCATCAGTTTGGTTCCCTGGGCTGGACAGCAGCTCTCCTTATCCACTGCATGAGAAACTATTGCAGGCCACAGAGGGGTCTTGAAGGGAAGTATACACCTCAGGCCAAAGGAGGAAGGAATCATCCACACAGCACAACGACGGCCAGACCATAGGACTTCAGATACATTGTTCTGAATAGACTGCAATTCAATGCACCTTGTGGGCTTCCTACACTTTCTTCAGCATGCTTTTCTCTCCATTCCCTGGCCTCTAGATCCAAATTTCTTCAGTGGCTCCAAGAACATATATCTTGTTCATTTTTCTTGACTCATTATCACAGTCCATCTTTCAGCAGTATGGAAAGGGGTCTGCAAAAGTATCCCAGCTTAAGCCACTGATATATCACCAAACATCTGCTGTTAGCATTAATAGGTTAGCGGGCATCCAATGATCACTGTCAATTCTTTCCTATTATTTTTCCTATAGATCTACATAAAAATGAACAGGGACAGACTCACTGCCCTTGGTGCACACCACTGGCATTTAAGGGGGTATTTTACAAACCCTGTAGTCATGTGGGAGCAGGTGGGGGCATCCTCAAGTAAGCCTAGTAAGGACTGATTACAGGCAGTAGTAGTTTCTATGACCTTGTCTCATGCCTGTCTCTGGGCACCACATTGTCCACATCCCCCATTCCTCAATGAGCAAGTTATCACTGTGCAGTTCTTCCCCATGTTAAATCAGTGGTTCCTACTCCCTTTAGCATTATGTTTTAACTAGTAGCAGCGCCTCTGGTGAGAGCATGGCACGTTCTGCTGGGCTCCTTTGTCTCTTGGTAAAGTCTTCTGGATTTCCTTCTCCTGTGCCTGGGCTTGAACTCACCACTCTTGTACCTCAATTTCTGCCTCTTCCACATAAACCACCTCAATTCCTTCAGAAATGCTGCATTTGTACTCATACCGCATCACCAAGGAAATCCAGACCTCCTTTTTGGACCAGGGACCACTGTGTCTGTCCATCAATGCTAACTGCAAGAATTACTGCGGTTGAGTGGGAGGACAGTAGGAAAGTGTTTGTCAAGAACTGTGCGATGGGGAGACTGCAAAACAGGCACCTTCCAAGCATGAGGTCGGGCTGCAGCCATACCTGCAGGTTTGCTAAGATTTGCTAAGGTTACCTAGTAGGAACAGAAGCATTTCAAAACATGGTAGGCCATTCAAGTGGGGGACTATGCATGTGTGGGGAGGGAGCTTCCAGTCACAGTGATCCCCACAAAGCAGAAGATGTAAAAAATTAAATGTTCAATTCTGTGGGAACACTTGGTTTCAGTATAGCTCCTAAGCATCTACAGAGGCATTACTGGCACACTGCAGTGGGTATAAAAGCACTTATGCAACTCTGGAAAGTGGTTTAACTTGCATGCCAAGCAGACTTTTACTGAGATGACTTTGAAACCTAAAGCAGAAACCCTTAGAGACCCTGGTTTTGATTACAAGCAGTGTCAGCCTTAGAAATGCAAATGGCCAGATGGATTTTGTGCAGGTGTGAATCGCTCACTTTGCCAGCTGGCAACAGGGTGTCTCAACACTGATAAAGGAGCATTAAGGGCTTATCATAGGAGCAGAGAAAATCCAGCCTGCAGCCCAGATCTGGCTCATCGGGCCATTCTATCCAGCTTGTGGGGTTCCTCTAAAATTTAGAAAATTATTGCCTGCTGGTGGCTGCCTATCTAAACGCTGATGAGGCACCAGTGATGGGCAGGAGGACCCAGCAGCAAGACCCACCCGGCACTCCCACACCCCATCCTACCCTACCCGTAGCCCCCACCAGAAGCTTCTGCCTAGCAGAGACTTCTGGCCTGGGACCCTGCTGCTGTTCCCCTGCTCTCCCTCAGTCCAAGAGTGGAAACTCAGGTAAGAACAGTGATGCACACACACATACCTCGCTGGTGATCGCTCTGCTGCATGGAGCTCGTAGGACTCTGGCTTCATGCCTCCATGTGCCACTACCAGCTAGAAGTGGCAGGAGCACCACCTGGAGGCACAGAGCCAGCCCAGTCTGAGGGTGCAGGACTTTCCTTGGCTTTTGGCACTCTAATGTGACCCCGCATGCAGCCAGAGCCAGCCTGGCAGCACATCCAGGACCTCAGGACGCAGAGGGAGTTAGCTAGGAACCACAGGGGCCAGGCAGGGCTGTCTCCATGCCCCGCCTTAAGATCCTGACCTTGCAGCTGGGAACCACAGAGGCTGGGCTGGGCCAGGCTGGCTCCAGCACCATGTGGTGGCCAGGACCGCAGAACGCAACAGGAGCCAGTCTGACCCCATGGTTCCCAGCTGCAAGGATGGGACTGTAGAGCGTGGCATGGAGCCAGCCTGGCCCAGCCCCTGCCATTCCTGGCTGGCTCCTGTTGCATCCTGAGGTCCTGGATGTCATCACTTTCTTCTGCTCCTGTGGTGTGGGGCTCTTGTTGCGACACCCATTTTCACTACTGCAGGCTAGGCCGGTAATGCTGGGTGCAGGAAAAGAGTTGCAATCCCACAAGCAAACAGCCTTCTGCCTAAATTGCTGACCAGAGCTGACCGTACAAACAGGGCTTGCACTGCAATGCTATTCTAGTTTGTCCACACCACAGTGCTTCTAGTCTCCTTGCTCCTTTGCTCTCCAGATATTGGGAATACAGCCTTCCTTTGGACATCTGCAACAAAGCTCAACATCTGTAAAGCACTCTTTGTCCCGGGAAAGGCATGACAGAACATAAGTGTTCGGTACTGTTGTGGTTTAACTCCCCTCCCACTGCTGGCTTTGCCACTTTTGCATCCCACAGGCTCCAACTGGTGCAGCTTCCCAAACCACAAACCTATCCCCGTTCCACTTACTGGTGACACCTGGAGATAGATGAAGTACAGGGGCTGCAAGAAATCAGTGGCTGGTATAGGAGCAATTGCTGATTGCAGCTGAGAGTCACATGTGCTTCCCCCAGGAACCATTTGCATCCCACCAGGGGGCATGCTCCACCGTTTTGGAAATGCTGACAGAGATGAGGGACACAGGGCTGGTCTCAGGCTGGATTGGACTCAGACTGGCCCCGTGCACCAGGGCTAGCAAATGAGGCCCGTCTAGTGCAGACAGCTAATGCAATGCCTGTTCTAGACCATCCTTGCATGCTGAGTGCAGCACACACTGGAACAGGACACCGATGTGGATGGGCACCAAAACCAGTGCTCAGGGCTGATGTAGTGCAGTGCCAAATGTAGCGCGCACCCTGGATCATGCATGCAGCATGCGAGTAACATCCATCCCAGCACACTGCATGCAGCATATGCTGGCCCCGGTCACTCTACACGAGGCATGTAGGGCTGGCACTGGACACGTGACATGTGGTGCTCATGCTGGACTGGTCCTGCATGCTGGCTCCAAAACACAGGGAGGGTCGGTGGGCCTGATCCAGCTCCAGAGTTTGCATACAGGGCCTGTCCAACACAGTCACTGAATGCAGTATGCACCAGACTGACTCTATGCATTGCATGCAGTGAGTGGGGCTAGACCAACGCATGTCACTTGTGGTGCACGGGGTCAAAGACCCACAGGCTAGATTGTAGGGCTCCATGGGCCAGATCCAGCCTGCGGGTTATATCTTTGACACACCTGCTGTAACTGAATCAGTGCAAGTGAAACATTATGTTGATAGTCACCCCTTAAGATATCAAGGAAGGCTTCACAACTGTTTGCCTATTTTGTACACCCAAACACAGAATACTGAAGCTGAAAAGGCAAAGACCTAGCAAATTCATAAGAGGTTGTTTTTTTGGGGGGAAGAAGGGTGAGAAAGTGGTGTGCAGAATGACACAGAAGTTAGGAGCTAGTCTATTAATTATTCCAGAGCACTTTTGGGGGGCATTTAAACTGATGGTCAGAAATAGGCAGAAAGGGAAAAACATGGATCTAATTTTTTTAGAATCTGTTTTTACCCATGTTCTATTTTCTCATTTCTCTGTTTCTGCCTGCTGCCTCTGATTTAGGTCTATCCTTACCTGTGCTCTTCCCCGTGCTGTCCCTGTAGCATGCAGCACTCTTCCTCGACTAGACTAAAAAGTCCCAACCTCCTCTTTTAAAAATCCCTGAATCCCCACATATTTCCATAGGGTTTACCATACAGTAGCTGATTAGTCTTTTACTCATTTATTCATCTTATGAATGCATGAGATGAGCTACATTTCATTGGGTTGTACCTTAGTCCTTCTAATTTGCTCTAATTATATCAAGGTTAGATCAATTCTCTTTTCTCTAGCCCTGACTGGCAGCTTGTTAGAAATTCCCATCCCCATCTTAATATGCCCTAAATTAGCTTGCAGCCTCTTGTCAAAGTTCTTATTTACTCTGTTTTAGAAAGTACTCAGGATCTTTTTTGGCAGACAAGATGATTTGGGTAAATCTGATCTCTTTTATTAGACCAACTCAAACAGCTGGAAAAATTCTTCTTTGCAAGCTTTCTGATATAAATATTCTTTGTCAGGCTGAGGAAGCATCTGCAGTTGGCGTGTGCTCTTCCTGGATGGAATTAATGGTAAAGAAGCCAGCGGCTGGTATTCATTCCATCCAGGAAGAGCACGTACCAACTGAGACACTTCCTCGGCCTGATGAAGGGTATTTGTGCCTGAAAGCTTGCAAAGAATTTTTCCAACTATTTGAGTTGGTTTAATAAAAGATATCAAATTTACCCAAAGAACCTTGCCTGCCTATGCCCTTAGACCAACACAGCTACAACCTATAACCCTATAACACAGAATGTTTTTGGCAAGTTTAATAAATGGGAAAAAACAATAGTCATAACTTGAACCCATTTATTCCCCTGAAATGAAAGATAACAGCCCATATTATCATTATCATTAAGAGACAGTTAAAAAAAATCAGAGAAGGTTGCCCAGATCATGGTCCTTATTTCCTTTTTTTTTTTTAAACAAAGACACCATGCTACAAATTTTATTTTTCCTTCATTTACAAACATATATAAAACATATGGAAACATGCACAGTAGAGTAACAAGATGGTAAGTGCTACTTCTTCAAAATATATCATATTTATTTCTTAAATGTACATCTTTAATGGTAATAACTGGAGGCTGTCAGATCTCACACATTCAAAGCTGAACTAAGTTCTAAGTGCTTTGGGACTTGTTGACAACTACTTATTATGTTGTAGTTTTTCCTGGAGTCAATATGAGACTAATGTTCCAGTAGGTCATTAGCATACCACCTGCAGCGTGGTACTCCTGCTGATAATAGCAGGAACTGCAAATGGAAATAGCCTTTAAAATGTCCCACATGTTACCTCATTACCTGTGTTGGCAGTCTCAAAAAGGCATACCGCTTAAGTTTTAAGAAACTTCATCTTAGCACAAAGGTTAACTGATGGGGTGTGAACAGATCAGATGTCAGTGAAGTTGTAGCACAACCACAGAAGGAGGGAGAGAGATAATAGCAGCAGCCTGTTATTCCTGTCCTTCAAAGACCTGGGAAAACCTAAACAAAACATAAAGAAAATATCCTTTATAACTAGTTATGCAACTGAAATGATTAATATTTACATCCCAACAGACATGCAAAATCTGTCTTTTCCTTAATTCTACAAGGAAGCATGGTGACAAAGCAATTAAGGCAGATCCAGAGTCTGACTCCTGTGGAGGGCTGCCTCCAGTTCATCCTGGCTGTAAATGGGTACCTGGTCATTCAGCCAGATGTGATGCTAGCTACATCATGCCCTTCTGTGCCACTGGCTCCATAAACTGGCATGCCTTTGTCAAGCCAGGCTGCTGGACCTTCTAGCCTCAGATGGCAGCTATAGGTGGGAGCTAGCTGGAAATGAAAGTACTGTTTTGTTAACTCTAAATACAGAATAAAAGTTATTAGTAAGCCCATGCAGCCCATGATACTTCTTAGTTTCACAGTTGGTAGGGTCGGAAGGGGCCTGAGTAGATCAGCAAATCCGACCTCCTGCCGTGGCAGGAAAAAGTACTAGCAAACCCGCCCCCCTGCCGTGGCAGGAAAAAGTACTGGGGTCAAACGACCACAGCAAGGTGTTCGTCTAACCTCCTCTTAAAGACCCCCAGGGTAGGAGCCAGCACCACTTCACTTGGAAGTTGGTTCCAGATCCTAGCCACCCTGACCGTGAAGTAGCACCTCCTGATGTCTAGTCTGAATGTACCCCCTGCCAGCTTGTGACCGTTATTTCTAGTCACTCCTGGTAGTGCTCGGGGGAACAGGGACTCCCCCAATACCCGCTGGTCCCCTCTGACTAGCTGGTAACAGGCCACCAGGTCCCCCCTCAGCCTTCTCTTGTGGAGGCTGAACAGGTTCAGGTCCTGTAGCCTCTGCTCATAGGGCCTGCCCTGCTGGCCCCTGATCATGCGGGTGGCCCTCCTCTGGACCCTCTCAATGCTGTCCACATCTCTCCTGAAGTGCAGCGCTTACTTCTTGAAGTAAGCAGCTTTCAGAAACTTAACGGTTTTACAATAAATTATATCATTATAGGTATGTCACAGAAATGAGGCAAAATACTTAAATTTTCCCTATCTTGATATAGAAAGTTTTTTATTTTTCTATCTAAATATTAATCACAGAACCATGGGACTGGAAGGGACCTCAAGTCATCTGATCCAACCCCCAAATGAATGCAG